AGGGTATTATTAGTGCGATCATTGTTCCTCATTGTTTTCAAGGGAAACGTGTCCTGACTTTCCAGCTGGACGTGGAGATGTGGAGAACAGATCTTCCCCTTGGAGCTCCAGCCCCGGGGAGAGACACATCCCCCTCTCACTGACCTGGAATGGAGTCCTCCCTTCTGCTTTGCTAGGAGACAGTGTCACCCTCAGGTGACAAGGAAAGCACCCCTGCGCATCACCCATGAGTGAAATCCTACTGTTGTGGCGGTTCCTACACAACAGTTTTTAGCCTGCATTTTCAGCTCAGAAGTTCCTGTCCTTAGCCGTGGTATCGCTTGTATTACGCTTTTCATGTTTTATGACTGTCTTCCTAGTTTATATCCCTTGTGCGTGGGGACCACATTGAGGTTTCTCTCTACGCTGTAAAGCATCTAGTCCACAGCTCAGCACTTAAGAGGGGCTCAATAAACATTTATTGATCCATAATTAGAGCCACGTGGGAAAGCAGTTCAGACAAGAGCCGAAATCAGTCAGGTACTGTTAGGCAGCAAAACCGATGACCTAATAATGTCAGTGTTTCCCCGTCAGGCATCTCTGTCATCACTCACATAGCTTAGGCGCATTTAAAAGGATGTCCTAATCCTGGCCTGTCTTTCTGCTTCCGGACCCCAGAAGAGATGGAACTCTGACTACTTTCCTGAAATGGATTTTAAAGTGGCTTTGATATTCTAAACATTCTACCTTGGATCTTTAAGCCTAGCTAATTCTCTTCACTGTTCACACTTAGTTTTATTTTCTCCACACCTGCCCACCTGCTTTATGTTCTTCCTGGGGGTACACTGGACAATTCGTCTCCTTGCTTCTTTAGGTACAGTCCCGGTCTTAGCCATCTCTCCACACTGATCTCTGGTGAGTAGCATGTAGTAGGGCGCTTTGCTCGAAGCAGAAACACACAACTCTTTGTCATGTGGAACACACGCTCTTAATTGTAATGAGCTGTTCCACCCCATGAAGTAGGTGTTATTATTATACCTATTTTACAGATAAGCAAACTGAGGCAGAGGTTCAGTAACCTGTCAAAGGTCTCCACTGCTAGCCAGTGTCAGAACCGGGATGTGAACCCGGGCAGTCTGGCTTTGGAGTTCATGTTCATGAACACGGCACACTGTTGCCCCTCAGTGAATGGTTGATCATGGATGGACTGAATCAAAGGTCATAAGAGCAGGTTTTCACAGTAGTGAAGGTGCTTCACCAAGAGGTGAAGGGCTGAATTGGGGTAACAATTGTCAAGATCCGTGTTTTACGAATGTCACAATTTACATGATCTGAGTGTGGGGTACTCTTCCATGTCTCTACTTCATTAAGCAGAAAAAGTCCAAATTCCCTTGAGAACCGGAGCTTCTCAGACAGGGGCATTTTGCATCTGACCGCAACCCTTACCCCACCCCTCGAGCCCCCCTGCAGGAAGTGCATTTGACGATGTCTGCAGACATTTTGACTGTCCTTACGAGGGGTGGGGCTGGGGTAGTTTGCTTCCGGCATCTAGCAGGGAAGAAGCCAGAGACACCACCAGACATCCTTCAGGGCACGGGAGAGCCCCTCCACCCAGCCAACAACAAAACATCCGGCCCAAAATATCAACAAGCGCCAAAGGTAAGACACCTCGTTCTAGAAAGATCCGAAGTCTAACCACTTAGGAGGCTTCTGATGCGGCTCACTTTTGAATATGCCCTTGGAAAAAGGAAAACAAATTAATCCTCAATTTTAGGATGAAGCATAGTTTGAAAATCTTCAAAGGTCTGCCAGTCACTGTGAACATTTTTCAATGACATAAATCTGAATTCAGACTTCTGCTCAATCCGCTGTTCAACCAAGAAGGCATCCCACCCCTCGAAGCTACCAGCAGAATAACACGTAATCCTCCTTCAGTAAGAAAGTGACATGAAGTGATAACAATGGACACCAGTTAGCGTGCACTGGTCCTCTTCTACACAGAAGTTTCTTTTGTCTTCTAAGGGCCCCGGGGTGGGGACCTCTGCTTCTCTCAACTGGGGAATTCTTGGAGATCACGACGCCATCTCACATGGCTTTTCTTTCTCCAGACAGAGGCGCCGAGGCAAGGCGAGAATTTGCTCCCCAGTGGACTCTCGACTCGTGTGGAATTTAGCTATCGTAGGTGTGGAATGATGTAAAAATATGATCTCGGTTCAAGTTTACCATGTCTTGAACAACACTACATTAGAAGGAATCTGTTATACATTTGGAAAGGGAGCTCTTAGTCACTTTGCGATGAGCACTCTTGAATTTCAATAAAGATATTTTACATTATAGGATCCAAACTATAAATAGAAAGTAGCAAAACATAAATGTCCTAGATTTTTACAATTCTTGAGGGCTGCTTTATGTGCCATGAATAGAAATAACGATGCTATTTAATGAAGGAATTTTATAACCTAGGGAAGACAGAGCCTCACACACTGAGTCATCTGTCACACACTGTCCACCCCCCCACCCCCAGCACTCCCTCACAGCCATGTGGACCATTCTCTTCTTGGCCTCCCGGCTGAAGAGAACTCATCTGGATAGAGCCACCTTCTCACTTGAGATCGTTTTTCATCCTAAAAGCTCAGACAGGAAAATTGCTGTCTTAAAAAAGTCAAAGTGGCTGTATCCTGCTCCTCTACCCCCCAAATCCATGGCCATCTTGGGAGGAGAGCCCTATTGTCCTCTGTGTTCTACTATACACAAAACTCTCCCCCCAGATCTTCTATATAAAATTCGTCATCACTAGATGCTTTCCGGAAGTGTCTTTATAAGACAAGAAAAGCCAAATGCATTCGATCAAGACACACGACTACATACAAGGACCGAGATGAAATGACTTCATCCTTAACTCTTCATTTTCAAGTCAATAGAGCAGTTATAAAAACATGTTCAAAAAAAAAAAAAAAAAAAAGGAAAGGAAAGGAAAAAAAGCTACCACGGGAGGCTTCCTAAGCGCAAATGAGAAAGAAAGAATTTTTCTCTCTGATTTCAAACATCCTGCAGTTATCCGGGCTATTTCCTTGGAACGGCACCCGAACCCAGCAGGGTCCAAAAGAAAGGAGTGCCACAGATTTCTCAGTCCCCTGCGTTTTGTAGCTTCACATCTTAGATGTAAAATGTCACTTGAGAGTTTTGGAGAAGAAACCCTCTCAAGATGTATTTGCTGTTTAATATTCCGAAAGGGCGACAGACACGGGTTTGGCGCATGATACGACTCCACAGCCATGAAGATAGACTTGTAGGGGCTGAACTCTTAAAATAAACAGATTAAATCTAAGATAAGAGCCGGCTTTTGGCGCAAACAAAGGGCTCTGATTTTGTGCTTCGGTAGTTGTTTCTGGCGCTCCTGTTTTGAAAAATTTTTCTGTGACGTAGTACTTGCATTCATTTTTCAGAAATAAATGCCTATCAAAGATGCTCCTTCTTTCCCCATCGCCGCATACTTGTGCTAATATACTAACTAGGGCAGTTATATTTTAAATGGCCGGTATATATTTAGCAGCATAATTATGCAAATACTACCCCGTTTATGACTATGGATATCCTTCAGGAGCAGTTGCGTAGCATCTAGACCTGAAACAATTTCTTAAGAATTCTGGTAGAAATGTTCAGAATTCACCCCTACACGGACTTCTCTGCTGGGTGCAGGTGTGGCTCACAGGTCCCACTCATCTGGCAGACTATTTCACAGTGGTAAAAGGTCAGGATTCTTTAACGGATACGGATGTTCTATGCCACGTGCTGGCTTTGTGACCTTGAGGAAGGACTTAACCTTTCTGAGTCTCGGTTCCTGCATCTGTAAACTGGGATGATGAGGGGCGTCTGGGTGGAGAAGTTGGTTGGGCGGTCGACTCTTGCTTTTGGGTCGGGCGATGATCTCAGAGTCCTGGGATCCAGCCCAGCGCTGGGCTCCACGCTCAGTGGGGAGTCTGCTTCAGGATTCTTTCTCTCGCCCTCTGCCCCTCCCCCCATGTGCTTGCTCTCTCTCTCTCTCTCTCTCTCTCTCTAAAGTAAATAAATGATTCTTCAAAAAAAAAATCGGGATGCTGATAGTATGTAGGTGATACTATATTTTTGGCGAGAAACAGAGAAGAGTGATTCTAATAAACTGCTGATTCCCTGAATATTTAATCTTATTGCTCACGCTCCTTTTGAATTCATAGATGACAACAGATTAAAATGCTTAACCTCTTTCAGACTCAATTTCTTTGACTAGATTTTTATTATGTTGGCTTCTTTCAATCGATTTAGGCTAGAGAAATTCCCTCTATCAAAATTAGCTTTCCTATTATTATACGAGATTTGGAGGGTCTTTAAAATGGACTAGGCTAGTAAGTTACACAAAAAAAGAGCAGATGAGAAAAGAAACTGAAATACTCAAGAGTGTCTCATTCCCTAAAAAATTTTTGCTGATCTCAGTTACCACTCCTGAGTATTAAATCTAAACCATCCTATTTGCATGCAAATTTGTGCTTTATCACCCTAGATGACAGAGAGTGACACATTCTTTCCATTCCCCAAGGCCAGAAGAAAAAGCAGAACTGCACTCCACAGGAAAAACACAAATTGCCATTTCAGACAGTTAAAACTTGAACCACTCGCTCCTTCTTTTCACTGGCAGATCAATTACCATGAGCTTCTGATCCATTTGTCCAAACGGTTTCTACCTATCACCATTCTCTTTCCCTTTGTTTGGATTTACACTAACGATGCTGCTGTTAGACCCACACTCCGCACGCTCCCACGGACTGCCCCCCATTTGTCACAGCTGTTGGCCTGTGTCACCCGACCCCCACCTATGCGGAAACTCTTTGCAGACCTGGATGGCCTTTGATCCTACTCTGTGGCTTCTCCCAGCTGCCCGGGAGGGCTGGGGCTCAGCCGACCTCTGTCCCCTTGGTTTGACCCTGCAGGGCAGCCCTCAACCACTCACTGGCACAGACCACCCTGGGCCGCCCTCACCGCCTTACCTGGTCTCTCTATCTTTGGGGATGGTAGCAGTGCTGTAGGCAAACACCTGCTTCTCTAAGAGAGGAGGGCCGAAGTCCACAATGCTGGCTAATCCCGGAGTGGTCCGTGGCTTTTCAATATACACCAAGGTGCCCGGCTCCTTCTTGAAGGTCTGGCGGCTCGGGGAGGCCCGCTCTGGCTGCAAGGTGTGAGGGGGCCCGTGGGCGTTATGGTGGGCGTGCATGTCTATCATCCTCAGGTCACTGACTCGATGAGGAGAGGCGGGGGGCGTTTTGGAGCCCAGAGTTGGCAGGTGGCTCTCTGGGTATTTCCGAGATTTCTGTCTGTACAGCGACTGCTCCATGTGCATTTCCGCTTGCAGAGAAGGGTTGCAGTAAGCACTGGCCGAGCGGATCGCTGTGCGGTGATACGCGATGATGTGATCGGGGACGTCCAGCGGGTGCCCGCCATGGGAAGACGCTATGCTCATCCGCCCCTCGTGATAAAGGTAAGGATCGGTATAGAAGCCCTCATTCCGGTACATTGTGATGTTCTTGCCACTCATGTCTTCATCGGGCTTCACATCTCTTCTTTCCAGGATGGCGCTCGGGCTGGGCGAGATGGACCTGGAGACCGGCAGGCTGGAGAGTCTGTCCCTGGGGATGGTGGCATTGCCAGGAACAACCATGGGGCGGGTGCCCCCGTAAGGAATTCTGGATGGGGAAGGAGGCATGGAATGGGGCACAGGAGTGGATGGTGGAGAGTTTGGGATGGCGTGGGGTGGATGGGCGGTGGATCCCGGTCGAGGGGCACCAGGGCCATCTCCTCGTGCATACACAATTTCTCTCTGCATCTGAAAATAAAACGAGAAGTTACAAAATCTCCTTTGATACTCGTGTTTTTAGATCTGTCTCAGATGTGACAGCGTGGCTCTCCCATGGCAGCAGGCTGAACGGCCCCTCCTTGGGCAGCATGTCCATACTCTGATCTCTGGAAACCATAAGTACGTCACCTTCCATGGCCATGGGGACTCTACAGATGTTCCTTTGTAAGAATACTGAGCTAGTATATCCAGTATATTGGGCCAAAATCCAGATGGCCCAATGCTACCATACTACATGTGAAAGAGGGAGGAAGGGGCCAGAGTCAGGGAAGGGGGTGTGAGGACAGCATCAGGGTCAGTCAGAGACACTGGAAAATGTTCTGCTGATTGTGAGGATGGAGGAAGGGCCCAGGAGCCCAGGGAGGCAGGGAGCTTCTAAAAGCTGGAAAAGGCAAGAAATGGACTCTCCCTGAGAGCTTACAGAGAGTATGGTTACTGTCAACACCTTGAAACTGGCCTGTAAAACCCATTTTGGACCTCTGATGTCTACAACTGTAAGATAATGAATTTGTGATGTTTTAAGCCCCTACGTTTGTGGGCGCTTGCTACCGCAACCACGAGAAACACCCATTAGAGAGCTCAACATTGTGAGGTTTGGGGGAAAAACAGTGCAGGGGTTTAAATTTTTTCAGATCATAGCTTCTCTGAGTCACTTAATAAATGTGGGTCTAATATGTCAAACATGCTAAAATTATATTTTTTAAAATTTCTCCCAGGCACATTTTCTAATATTAACCCTGGAAAATAGTGAGCATCTTTCCCATCCTTCCAAGCAGATACAATCTAGGGACATGGCCAGGGAGGGTAAGAAGATGCACAGGGAAAACTTGGAGGTAAGCATTCATTCACCAACTGTTTGCTTGAACCTAGGGGAAACCAGCTCTAAGATGTTGGAAGACGATAATGATCTGGGAGATAAGAATGCAATCAGAGGCAGAACTCATAGTGGAGAGGACAAGGGAGAAGAACGGGGAGAGAATCTCAACATGGTGGAGAGAGGGGAAGCCCCAGGGAGCCTCTCTGGGGCTGCCATGTCATAAGGAGTCTGATGGGAGTTGTCCTTCGTTAAGTCGGGTACTTCGTGCCCAGGTAGCAGTGACTTCTGGGCTGTGTCATTACCATCCAGTTCAAGAGACTGAAGACTCCCACTGGGTCTTCCATTAGTTAGCCTCTGGAAGAAACCATGACTAAAAAGTCAATGACTCAAGAATCATGGACACAGAGAACAGATTAGTGGTTGCTGGAGACATGATATGGGGTTGGGTGAAGTGGGTGGAGGGGCTCAAAAGGTATATAAACTTGAAGTTGTAAAATAAAGTGTCATGCGGATGTAATGTACAGCACGGTGACCATAATTAACAATACTGTATTGTGTATCTGAAAGTTACTAGGGGAGTAGATTTTAAAGGTTCTCATAAGGAAAAAAATGTGTAACGATATATGGTGATGGATGTTAACTGGACTTACCACGGTGATCACGTGCGATATATACACATATTAAATCATTACATTGTACATCGGAAACGAATGTAATGTTACATATCAATTATATCGCAGTTAAAAAAAAGAATCAAGTTCATGGGGGAAGTGGAAACTAATTTGCAATTACGCTATTGTGTGTAGCAAGGGGGCAGAATAAAGAAATACAGATTAATTCAAAATAGGAATATTTGATACTTTGTGTTTTGGTTAAAGCCTAAGAGGGTAATAACTAACTCGCTGAGATTCCAAATGGCTACAGGAGATAGGATGGACAGCCCACTCTTCAAGTTCTGTTTGTGCTATCAGAGGAGCCCACATCCCCATCCAGACTTTTGGGGGATGTGACAGACAGGGAAAGCATAAGTGGTTGGGGGTGGGTGAGGTAGGGGCATGAGGAGAGAGGAGGTGGGCTCCAATAGACAAACACCAAAACAAGCAGTCAAAAGACCCATGGTGTGAGTGATGGGGAATGAGAAAAGAAAAAGCAGAGGCAACAGGAGAAGGCCGAAAATGAAACAGAGCCCAAGGTTCTGAATACATACCAAATCCTTACTTTATAAATGCATTCGTTTACTAAGCAATATTTACCAAGCACTTGCTAAGAATCAGACATTGTTCTAGGATACAGTTCTAACCCCAAGTTCCTGCCCTTGAGAAGGTACATTCCTGTGGACATCTCTTAGAGAAGCAGGTAGGAGAAGAAGCCTCGGGAATCACTCAGCTTCCTTATCTTGTCTCTGGAAGAATCCAGCAGTGCAGAATCCCTAACCTGGGAATTTTACAAATTATGGTGGATTTCATCATGGAAATGACCTATTAGAAAAAATGCAAGCAAGATGCAAATACCTAGCAACTAAAAGGAACCCTTTCAGGGTGTGTTATCTGAGCTCCACTGAATGGGCTCCTGAGTTCCCTTGGGAGGCCAGGTGTTTCCAGGGACCCCTGAGTACACAGGCTCCTCATGGGCAGTGACAGTTTTATTTCCACTGGCCCCACATCCCCAGCACACCCACTCCCACAACAAGCTCATATGTTTCCCTCTCTAAATCAAACTTGGGACATCCTTAGGCTGGGTCCCCTGGGACTCTCTCCCTATTTCCTGCCCTTGTGGGTCCAAACCACTGCTGAGGGTCAAGGTCGGGCTCCAAGTCTGTTCCACATGGTCCAGCCCTAATGCTCTAGCCCAGATGGACCTCTCATGACTCAGGTGCTCAGGCCTTAGACCGGGAGGTCATTCCCAAGGTCAGTGTGTGATGGTATACCTGATTCTCCTTCCACAAGGGCCAAACAACCATATGAGATCTGCACAGACCTCTACACACATCCTCTATTCCTATCTTCCACAAGGCAAGGCTCCAGAGAGCACAAAATACAAGAGGGACTGGCTTAGGCAGCAGCACATACGTGGCCAAATTCTCCATGCCATTAGACCACACAATGCAAGATTCGATCCAAACAAAGGTAAAGATCAATTCATAAAGATTCATACATGTGTAGAAAGCAGAACACAGTGCTCAAGGCCAATCAAGTGCAACAAATGGTAGGTACTATTGTCATTATTGGTATCAATTTAAAAAAAAAAAGGATTTCAAATGTCTACAACCCACTTAGGATAAACAATAATCCAAACTGTTAGTCCTCTTTATCTGGCTTCAGGGTGCATCAGAACCTAGGTGATACTGAGCCCAATGGACACACAGTGAATGCCCCCCCTATTTTTGGCAAAAGAATAGGAAGACCTATTAAGAATCTAAATCGTACAGTACTGTCTAGAAGGATAAAGAATATTAATGAAAGGAAATGTAAAATTGATTTTAATTAATGAAAAGTTGAGGGGCACTGGGTGGCTCAGTGGGTTAAAGCCTCTGCCTTCGGCTCAGGTCATGATCCCTGAGTCCTGGGATTGAGCCCCAAATCGGACTCTCTGCTCGGCGGGAAGCTCGTTTCCCCTTCTCTCTCTGCCTGCCTCTCTGCCTACTTGTGACCTCTGTCTGTCAAATAAATGAATCTTTAAAAAAAAAAAAAGGAAAAGAAAAGTTGAGTAAATTTCTTTTAAAACAACAGAGATGGGGCGCCTGGGTGGCTCAGTGGGTTGAGGCCTCTGCCTTCAGCTCAAGTCATGATCTCAGGGTCCTGGGATCAAGCCCCGCATCGGGCTCTCTGCTCAGCAGGGAGCTGCTTCCTCCTCTCTTTCTCTCTCTCTGCCTGCCTCTCTGACTACTTGTAATCTCTACCAAATCAATAAATAAAACCTAAAAAAACAAACAAACAAACAAAAAACACAACAGAGATGCCTGCATGGATATTTAAAAAAAAAAAAAGGTTTGGTGATGTGAAAAGAAATGGTTAGGAGCGACATTATAGAACTTGTAAAATAAAATACAAAAAAACCTCATTGGGGGCACCTGGGTGGCTCAGTGGGTTAAGCCTCTGTCTTTGGCTCAGGTCATGATCTCAGAGTCCTGGGATCGAGCCCCACATCAGGCCCTCTGCATGGTGGGGAGCCTGCTTCTCCCTCTCTCTCTGCCTACTTGTGATCCCTCTCTCTCTGTCAAATAAATAAATAAAATCTAAAAAAAAAAAACTCATTGGACTTTCTTGACATCATGTGTAGATGGATTCAGAAAGAAATGTAAGAATTAACAATAATTCTGATGCACTGTGGACTCGTAGGGGAATGTGGGCGATAGTCAAGGTATTTACCATCCAGGAGCTAGTATTACATGGGTACCAACCAACCAGAATGGGACTTCAGCCAACAAGGATGGATCCTAGCCATACATTATTAGCATCATGTATCTGAGGGTAATGCTCTTATCAGCCTTGGCCTGGTCCACTTCAAATTAATCTTGCCGTCACCCAACAGGGTCACTGAAAGAATCACTGTCTACCTGAGTCACCCACAATGGAGGCAGACACAAGCATTCAGCTATGACAGAGCAGGGCGATCTCCATCAATCTGGGTGACTTGAAGGTTGGAAGCCTTTAGAAGAATTCTTACCTTGCTTTGCCAAGCTATGACTGACTTTCCAGGACTGAGTTTTAAAAAGAACCCATGATAATTTCATCCTCGGCTCTACAGAGAGCCCAGAAGGAGAACGACGCGATGTTTCCATTATACAGTGGGAAAATGTTTTCAACCCACAGTGAGAGCGAACCTTTCAAATCTGAAAACCTCAGTTCATACGCTAAAGGATACGGAGCAACCAAAGGCGGTCACTCTTAAAACGAGGCGGAAGGGATGGGAAGATAAAAAGAGAATCTTTTGCAAGGCTGCTCTGTGATCTCCCAAGGAGACCATTTGCTATTCCAATAAAAGGTGGACTTCATACACTTCGCTGTCTGGTTGACAATCAGCATGATGATTAAGATTCTATGATACATAGTTTCAAAAAGTTCCAGCCTTCTATGCTAGTGTTCTTCCCATGGAGATATCTTCCTGGAATCAGGCACCCACACAGTTTTGTTGTCTAACTGGTCTTTTTTGG